TATCGACTTCCTCCCGAGTGGTGTCGCGCCTTTCGATGGAGAGGTGGGCCACCTTGTCGAGGACTGGGTTGACGAGAACCTGACGGGCTACCACGCCGCGAGCACGACGAAGCAGTACGCGGGCATCTACGGCAAGTGGAAGGCATGGGCGGCTCGGCAGGGATGGCCTTCGGACTTTTTGGACAAGGCGATGGCGGTCGAGGCCAACGAGGACAAGTTGCTCGGTTTCTTGGGTTACCTTGGTTGGTTGGGGTGCACGGTTGCAACGTTGAAACAGGCAATCTTCGCGGTCAAGGATGCCCACAAGAAGTTCGGCCACGGCGACCCCACCGAGAGGATGCATCGACTGTGGATGCTCATCGCTGCGCTTGAGAAGAGGTCCGTCAAAAAGCTGCGTCGTTTGGGAGTGACACCCGAGATGCTGAAGTGGATTGGGTTGCACTTGTTCCCGAACGAGGAGGCGAGCGGAGGCGACTTTTTCGATGCGGTGATGTTGTGGTGTGCGTTGAATGTTGCTTGGTTTTTCATGTTGAGGGCCAAGGAGTACTGCGACTCTAACGGAGTGGACTTCGAGATGATCCTGCGAGGAGCCGACCTGAAGTTTGTGACCTCGGGCGACGGCGAGGACCTGATCATCGGGGTCACGCTCCAGTTCAGGAAGACCAAGACGGACCAGGAAGCGTTTGGCGGTTGCAAAACCATGTACAGGTCAGGAGTCAAGGGCCTGTGTGTGGTTGAAGCACTCGTGAAGTTGCGCCAGTTGGCTCCTCAGCGGTTTGGCCAGGGCTCCGAGGCTTTGAGGCCTTTGTTTCGATGGGCGGGTGGCCAGGTCCTCAAGCGCACCCAGGTTCAGAATATCCTGCAGAAGGCTGCTGTGGCTTGTGGCCTCCCAAAGGAACGCTTCATGTCTCATTCATTGCGGATTGGAGGGGCATCTGCCTTGTTTCAAGCGACTGGTGAGATTGAAGTTGTCAAGCGGACGGGGAGGTGGAGTTCGTCGGCAGTGCAACGCTACCTGCATGATGGTGAGGTCGCGCTGAAGGATGTGGCCATGAAGATGGCGAACGTGGATCAGAAGGTCCATTACACCTGAGGCCATAGGGCCTAAGTTCGGGGCAGCGCTGCCCTCCTTTGCAGTTTTGAGTTTTGTAGTTTAAAAGTGTTTGTGGCGGGAAGGGAAGGCTTTGGCAAACCTTTCCCATACTGGAGTGCACTGAGCGCCGTTCAAAAGTGGATGGTCCGAGTGAATGCACTTCGTTGTGTGTACTAAAGTGGGAGGTTAGCATCACTAACCGTCGCTTTTGTTTCAGCTAGAAGAAATGAGCTGGATGCAGAGCTGATTTGGTTTAAGGAGCCCACCCGACCCACCCATGGCGGGAAGGGAAGGCTTTGGCAAACCTTTCCCATACTGGAGTGCACTGAGCGCCGTTCAAAAGTGGATGGTCCGAGTGAATGCACTTCGTTGTGTGTACTAAAGTGTCCAGTTTCACAGCAGCACTCCACATTTCCACGTATATTTACATCTTCATGATTCACCGCAGCTCAGGGTCAACAGCACGGGACTTGTTGCATGGCGTGCCGGGGCTTCTTCAAGGACATTGGTTTCTCATGAAGTGAGCGCCGGCTTGCCATCAGGGGAGAGCCTCATTGTTTTTGAAATGTTTGTTTTCCTATCGAGATATTTTTGCAGCGCCCCTCCTCCCATGGCCAATCCCAAGCCTGACGTGTATGTTTCATTGCAGCTGTCAGCACATGGCATTTCAAACTTGTTCAGGCAGTCATTGTTGTCGGGAGCGGATGGGGCACTGCCATGACCTTGGTTCCGGCACGAGCACCAGCAACTAACAATAGTCGGGCATCCATGCATGCTGCAAAGGAGTCGGCGCCAGTTGGCGGCAAGCACCTGCGAACCTTGTTTTTGCAGCAACATTGTTGTCATTGCTCATTGTTTGCTCGCTGGTTGATTGTTTTGGGCGTCTGGCAGCCCGATGAACCCACAAAGCCACAAGGAACCGGGCGGCGAAAAAAACCCATAATTGTTGGTTACCATCAATTGGGAGGTCCTGGTTTGGACAAACATTCGCGCTCGCCGTTTTGTTGCCAGGGCTGTTTTTTCCAATGTGTGCATAATTCTTGTTGGTCTCGGAGTCAGCCCTCATTTAGCCACCATGCTTGGGATTACGGTGCTTGGGTGGTCCATGTCGCGCGCTGAACTTGCAGGACTCTGCTGTGGCAGCTGCAATCCAATCATGTCGGGGGTTCGTTTTTGCTTGTGATTGCGCAGTCATTTTTGCAAGGGTGAGGGCACTGCCAAAGGTTGCGAGCAAAGGAATGAATATGCTGAGTTTAAGCAGCGCATAGTTCAATGTCCCGTCCATGTCCATACCATGACGTTTTGGTATTTCGGCAGCCTTTCGCAGCCGAGGATACAATGCTTCCAATATGGAGTTCGTTGCGCTGCATGCGCAAGTTGCAAAATGTGCGAAGCCCTATGTCGAGGCCAACAGAAAAAATGATGTCACTCAAGCGTCCATGTGGGCAGAGAAGCAGCAGATCACCACTGACAGGATTGTGGTGAAACCGGGCAATGCTGTGATCCGGCCATGTTGAGTGCCCAGCGGGGTGTTCATCATGGAATACAAGTTCTATGTTGTGTGTTCGTGCTCCCAGGACATGTTATGAGAAACACGCGAAGTGGGCAGCATGCTTGTTGCTGTCTCGGGACGATACCAGCATGCGCCATTTGTTTTTGTAGTGTGTGCTTTCCCCGAAAACTTTGTGAGGCCTGATTGTACGGCGGGCGTGCAATTGTGGGTTGATTGGTTTTGGTCGGATCCTCATGGGAGACGTGCACGGATGTTTCAATGGTGCAGGGAGCCGTGCAAAACTGTATTGAATTTTAGGCGCTGGACCCCATGGACCTGCATGCTCATTGTGGATGCGGTCGGACGTGATGAACTGGGCACAGAGCCTGGGCCCTGGCAAGCATAGAGCGGCGTTCCGAGAAGCAGATGCGATGTCACGGTTGAAACGGCCATTTCTCCTCGCCAGTCCCCAATTTTAGACACCAACTTGTTCCAAGTGATGCAGGTTAGAAACCAGCGATGCTGACCCGTTGCTAGCTTCAGCAACGCCGTGTGATGCTCATTGTCCAACTTCCACCGAACGGTCGCTCTTAGCTGCCCGCTAGCTGCACCTTGCACTTAGGCACCGCTACAAGAATTTAGCGTGGGGCTCTCTGCAGGGCTGGAGATGTGAGGGCCGTCAAAACTCGGAGTCTTGCCATCAGTAGTTTTTCGCAAAGCACGCTGCAGGAACAAGTTCACCACAAGTGGTTCCACCATATACGATGACGCTGAGAACATGTGCGCTTGTCGTTTTTGACTGGTCGATGATGCGTGCTAGATGCTTTTTGTAGCCTTGCATGTATGCAATAGCAAGTGCTTACCAAAGCTTTCCAAATTTTGTGGTGTTCTGGGACAGGCGGCTCGTGTTTGTCAGTTCTGTGATCGCCTCAGAGTGGATGCGTCTGTTGGACGAAGATAAAGATGACATTTCCAGAGCATTATGCGCAGCCGTCACCCAAGCAGTCTACAGCAACATGTAAAGATCATTGTGGCAGCACATCTTCATGAAGCTGGCATGTGAACAGTTTCTGTGTGCCCGTCCAGCTTGCTAGTGCTCGTATTTGTGGACTCAATAAGCATGGGCTGCTCGTCATCAAAAGCTGTGGCGCCAGCCCCAGCACCTGCACAGCCGGCCTTCACGAGACCTTCGGATGCAGTCGGCACCTTCCTCCGCATGATCATGATCAATGATGTGTACATCTTGGACAACTACCCCAAATTTGCCAAAGCCGTAGAGTTGGCACGAGAGCTGAGCAAGGAGCAGGATTGCGTGGTGACTTCGCACTTGAACGGTGATTTCCTCTCGCCATGCATTTACACTGCCTTGGATGGTGGAACTACTATGATGCAAGCCTTGAACTTCGCCAAGTTAGACTATGCTTGCCTGGGCAACCATGAGTTTGACATGAATAAGAAACAGCTTCAAGTTCGGCTGCCAATCTTTAAAGGCTTGTTTAGCACGTTGCGAGAGTAAAGATACATACACTGCCAATAGGCAGCATGGAAGGGTTCCCAAGTGGTCAGTCGCGTGCTTGACAGGCAAGATCATCAACACCAACGGAGATGATCCAGAGTTGAGCAGTTTGCCGAAGTTTGACGTGGTCAATGTTGGTGACAAGAAAGTCCTTCTGACTGGTCTTTGCACACAAGACACCTCCATCTATTCTGCCAAAGGCTGCCCAATAATGCGACCTTTTCTAGAGTCCAGCATTGCCGCTTGGCACGAGGCGTCAAGGCATCAAACGCTGGACATAATGGTGCCAATGACCCACCAGCTGATTTCAGAAGACTGTGAATTGGCGCTTCAGTATCAGACCAACGACACATTGTCTGGCAAGGTCGTTTCCTCAGAGTTAACTGCAGGTGTTTCTTGTGGTCCGCCTCCTACGGGTGATTCCCTCAGGTACCAGTCATCTTGGGCGGACACGAGCACACGGTCTTCGAGGAATCAAGCGGAGATTCCTTGATTGTGAAAGCTGGCCAAGATGCCACCAACATTGCCGTCATTGACGTTTGGTGGTCCAGTTCTGGTGCTACTTGGTGAGTTTTTGGATCATGCTTCTTTTGGGCCACTGTGGTAGCTTTGCGGTAGTCACGCGAGTACCATGTCAGGAATCGTTAAAACTTGCGTAAAGGAGATTGTGTAAGGCTTGGGCATGCAACCTAGACATAAAGAGATGGGAACCCCTCAAAAGCGACATCCCCAATGTTACAGCCAGTAGGCGGCAGCCATCAAGTTTAAACAGACACTCCTGTAGCATTAGGATTCACTACCCACAGAGACTGCAGGTCAAGCGACGACATTGCTTGATACCGGCCGAACAATTCTCTGCAGAATCCACAGCTGAAGCTTGGACAAGGGATCGGAAAGACTTTGTGGTAAAGGCAATGGAGGCGTCTGAGCATTCTGTGGCATGAATTAAAAAAAGCAAGTCAGGTATGTTGTAACATGTTGTAACTGGTGTGCAGGCAGCCATCACGGACTTACCCTGCGAGATGTCCAGCCTCAATGTGCGGTTTGAGCAGTCCCTCCTTGCAGGATTCCTTCTCCAAAAGTTCAAGCGAGGTAAGTCGGCTTGGAAAACCTTCGTGCGGAGTTTGAGACATTGATGCGCAAGATATGACGTAAGGTCGGTACTTTTGACTAAGGTTTGCATCAGCACGAGGTCGAGGTTGTAGCAATGAATGGTGGGGGCATGCGTGGCAAGCAGTGTTACAAGCCTGGAAGTTTCACTTTGGGTGATCTTTACAAAGAGCTCGCTTTCGATGAGGTGCCTTGGCGCAGCTTTGTTTACCAGACCATTTCTTTTCCACCACAATATACGTTGCTGTCGTTACAAAGACAGCTGCCAACTAAGCCCTTCGCCGTTGTTGACATGAAGGGTGCCACTTTGGCAGAAGCCGTGAAGCAATCCCGCGCGGGTACGCATGAACGTCCGGGCTTTCTTCATCTGGATGGTGATTGCCATGCTGATGAGGCTCACTGGGAATTGTTTGGGTCCACCATTCCGATTTGTGCTGTGGTTGCGAAGGGCTGTTACCAGATTTAGGCGGAGAAACCCAAAACTTGCACGAAAAGATTTAAAAAAAAAGCCGAACGGTCGACAAGTTTTGTTTTCATCAATTTGGCGCGATAAGTCCAAAAGCCGAAACATCCGAATCAAAGTTCTGAAAAGTGCCAGAACACGTGTCAAGTCGAAAAGTCCCAGTGTCCCCGACAAGTCAAAAAATGCTGGACAGTCCCTAAACGGACCACACAAATCCGAAAAGTCGAGGAGTCCCAGAAAAGCACCACAAGTAGAAAAGTCCCAGTGACCCCGAAAAGTCAAAAAGTCCCAACAAAAGTCGAAGCCCAAACCCTGACACCCAACGCTCATTTAAGATCATTTAAATCTGCAAATGATACCCACATTGCGGCCCAAAAAGCCTTCAGTTGTTTCCTATGTCGTCGTCGTCGTCGTCGTCGTCGTAGTAGTAGTAGTAGTAGTCGTAGTAGTAGTAGTAGTAGTAGGAGTAGGAGTAGGAGTAGGAGGAGGAGTAGGAGTAGGAGTAGGAGTAGCAGTAGTAGGAGG